CTGTTTGGAGAAGCATAAACTCCCCTGAAGGGCATGTCTACATGGTAATTAAAATTCCATGGCTGGTCCATTTCAGTTGAGTTGAGCTCAACATGCAGGGTCCAGAGCCTGGTGTCCAGCCCGAGGCTGGAAGTCTATGACAGCAACGAAACGGCCCCTTAGCTTAAGCCAGCACTGCCAGATGAGGGGTCTCATTGCAGTGTAGATGTACCCGTAGGACCTCCTCAAGTTTTGCACCAGGAAAATGCTATGGAGAATGTTCCCTGGTTCTACCTGCTCCTGACCATGAACCAGCTACTGAACTGAGGCAGGGTCCAGATGCACTATGGGCTGTGTGGAGCCAATAAGCAGAAGAAAGCATAGCTGTCTCCTTCCATGGGCTCATGGCAGGTTCTGCCAGGTCAACTTCTTCTTGCATGAGGGGCAGGGAGAATAATCGAGTAGCAATTCTGTAGCTATGCCACTTAGGCAGGTTGCCTTATAATTCTGCCAGCATTCTAACCCCAAAAGGTATTTAAATAAGCAAAAGCTAAGGCTTTGTGGGCTTTTCTTAACCTTACTTTAAAATACTGCATGTGCTTTTTTTCTTTACGATGGTTACTTTGGAATAAAACGGGAATTATTTTCAGTGTTGGAGTGCTGGAGAGATTGTGCCTCCACTGAAGTTAATTATCTGAAGCCTTCCATGTCGGCCCCAGAGTAAACACCTTCAATTTATTACCATGGGCTTCAGAATGCCTAAAATATACTTAACACTTGTTTGGCTGTGATTCCGTTACTTTAAAGAATGGTGTTACAATCACACGTTTTTGTTTGCTTCTTTTAGGGAAAAATGGACATATTCTGACAAGAAGAGCAGAAATAAAATGTCATTCACTTAACTGGTATGCTGATGCCTATAATGTAAATATGAAATATATAAAGGATTTTGCAGCATTTCAAACCGCAAGAGAGATAAGTAATATCTTTGTAATGTGAACAGAGTCATTTTCATTATCACAGAGGTTTGACAACCAGCTTCCTATGCAGTTTGTCATGTTGAATGTCACTAATACTGTCTGAATGCTGATTTGCTACTTTTGTTATGGCTCCAGTAAAGATCTGGTGTGTTTCATTTAGCAAATGCATTGATAAACAGATATAAATCTTTGGAAAGGCCATTGATAAAAAAAAGTCTAATATCTCATTGATGTTTGTTCTGTGTTAGGCTTCAATACCATTTATATTGTATCCTTTTTATGAGCAGCTTGCTACTGCAGCATTCATCCTGCAGGGAAGATTTGGAAACCATAGCGTGCCGTGAGGCATGCTGGCATAAATCCAGAGTAACGAACTGGTTGTAATGGAGTTACTCACATGCAACTCAGAGATGTATTTGGCCCAGCGAAGGTTTTACCTGCAGATGTTGTGATTGGTGCTATATTTGCTTGACTTGTATATGTCCTTGTCTTTTTGAAATCCTTGGCTTTTTTTCACCATGGAGCTGATACCATGTGGAGTAGAGTGCCTTCCATAAGCATCAACTTCAGCAACAGCTTTTCCGCCATCTTATAGGTAGTGGGTGAGTCGCCCGCTATACCCCAGCATGGGGCAGAACATCCTCTGCTGAGCCAGCATGGACAGCTGTTTCCATGTGAAGAGTTAATCCCAACTGAGGGAAAGGGAACTTGTACCTGTCTTACCCTTGGCTTTAGTAGCCTCACAGTTCTCCAGCAATCCACCCTTAGATTCACAGAATGACAGAATACTAGACCTGGAAGAGACCTCAAGAGGTCACTAAGTCTAGCCAGCTGCCTCATGGCAAGACCCAGCACCATCCACATCATCCTTTGATAGCTGCCTATCTAATCAGCCCTTAAATATCTCCAGTGATGGAGAATCCACAACCTCCCTCACCAATTTATTCCAGTGTTTAACCACTCTAACAGTTAGGGAGTTTTTTCTAATGTCCAACCTAAACCACACTTGCTTCCTGTGTCACACCAGTTGGCTTCAGCCCTGCTATGGTGTTCCAGGTACCTCATGGGGTTGGGACCCCAGCTTCCATCAGACATCCCAGTGGTGGGCTTATATTTATATGAAGATCTGGCAGAGCCCAGGACACAATGAATATGGGTCAGCATTCCCTAGGTGAGATATATTGCCTGCTTAGCACTGCTTTTAGCAATTGCAGTCATAGGCATGTTTAATTCCCTTTTTTGTTTTCAGAAACACTCCTGGGCTCCAGCCTGAGAAGTAGTGACTACATAGCTACACAGGCGCTCCAACAAGAAAGTCTATGAGGGTATGTCTACACTACAGCGCTAATTCGAACTAACTTAGGGTATGTCTACACTACCCCCCTAGTTCGAACTAGGGGGGTAGCAATTGCAGTCATAGGCATGTTTAATTCCCTTTTTTGTTTTCAGAAACACTCCTGGGCTCCAGCCTGAGAAGTAGTGACTACATAGCTACACAGGCGCTCCAACAAGAAAGTCTATGAGGGTATGTCTACACTACAGCGCTAATTCGAACTAACTTAGGGTATGTCTACACTACCCCCCTAGTTCGAACTAGGGGGGTAACGTATGCATACCGAACTTGCTAATGAAGCCCGGGATTTGAATTTCCCGGGCTTCATTAGCATAAAGCCGGCTCCACCATTTTTAAAAGCCGGCTAGTTCGAACCCCGTGCCGCGCGGCTACACGCGGCACGGGCTAGATAGTTC